AAGGAAGGAAGGAAGAAAGAAAGAAAGAAAGAAAGAAAGAAAGAAAGAAAGAAAGAAAGAAAGAAAGAAAGAAAGAAAGAAAGAAAGAAAGAAAGAAAGAAAGAAAGGGGAAGGACAGCTCAATAGAAAAGGAGTTCTACTTAATGGTCTGAGCCGCAGGGCTTACCTGGCGGATTTCCTGCGTCTCACTCTGGGAGATCACCTGTTTCTCCTTCTGCACCTGAGCCTGTTGCTGCTGCTGCTCTTGCTGGTGGTCTCCACTCCCTCGGGAGGAGGAGGAGGAAGAGGAGGAGGCGGGTGTTGCTCCGGTCTGGACGAGGCTCCCCACAAACCCAGTGGCTGCAAGGAGAGAGGCAGCTGTGGGTCAGAAAGGCACCGCTCACAAAGGGGCACCCCAGAGGCTTCGTCCTCTGGCCAAAGAGCTCCTGTGGGCCGTCCTCACCTTACAACCGCAACTGGGACCAGAATTTCTCTTGTGGAACAAGGGTGGGGTGGGGGGTGGAGAGATGGAATCACCGTTTTTGCTACGGTTGTTAAGCGAATCATTAAGTGGATGGCGCAGGTGGCCTCTCTTGCCACCGTTGCTAAGCGAGTTGCTGAAATTGTTAAAGGAAACGCACCTGATTCGATTTTTCCTCGGCGGCCGTTGTTAAGTGAATCACTGCCGTTAAGGGAATCGCACGGGGTATGACCTCTTTGGGCCACGGTTATTAAGCGAATTGCTGCGTTTGTTAATTGAATCAAAAGGTCGTTAATCAGATCTGCTTGTTAAATACATGCCAGTTGCAAAGCACCGGAATTTGGACCATGCAACCCAGGGGAGGGTGTGATGGTCGTAAGCGCGAGGACTGGCCCTAAAGTGACTTTTTCCAGCGCCGTGGTAACTTCAAACAGGCACTAAACAAATGGTTCAACATTTGAGGAATCCTGGGAGTTGAAATCTACATATCTGGAAGCGGCCAACGCAGAGAAACACTGGATTTACAGGCAATCCTTAACTTATGACCAGTCACTTAATGACCGCTGGAAGTTATGACAGGCCTGGATTTGAAGTTCCAACGGTCGCTGAACCACATGGATCACAGGACCACATATATATATTTTTTTGCATCCACAATCACATTTTCTTTGCGGAAAAGCGGCGTTTCTTTCCAGTTTGGGGCAAAACCGTTGGTTCACTTAATGACTGTTGCATAAAACAAGTGGGTTGCTCCTTCACATGACTGACCCGAGTTATGACCTTCATGAGTTAGGACTGCAACGGGCAGGGTCCCATTTTGGCCGTAAATCGAGGACTATTGGTCGCGCAATGGCCTCAGGGGGCAAAAGCTGTAACAGGCAGCAGGGACTTCTATTCCCTAACCTGACAAAGAACACAGCCACACACATCGCACACAACGCCATGCTGCGTGTTGTGTGCGATGCCTCCCATGCAACAAGGGTGCAATGGGAAGCGAAACTCCCCCGAGCTCCCCACTTACGGCCGCGATTTCCGCCATTAAGCAAGAGTTGTTAAGTGAGTTTGGCCCCATTTTACGACATTTCTTGCCACAGTTAAGGGAACCAATGCAGTTTTTAACCTTACAGGTAGTCCTCGACTTACGACCACGATTGAGCCCAAAGCTTCCGTTGCTAAGCGAGACGTTTGTTAACTGAGTTTCCCATTTTACGACCTTTCTTGCCACAGTTGTTTGGTGAGTCACTGCAGTTGTAACGCTAATCCACACAGTTATTAAGTGAATCTGGTTTCCCCGTTGACTTGGGTCACCAGAAGGTCGTCAAAGGGGATCGCATGGCTGCCCTCCCCCCCCCTGCAACCGTCATAAATAGGAGCCAGTTGCCAAGCACCTGAATTTGAATCACGTGGGGAGACTGCAACGGTCATAAGGGTGAAAAGCGGTCATAAGTCACCGTTTCTAGTGCTGTTTATGTAACCTCATTCACCAAACGAACGGCGGCTAAGTTGTATGTTATTTTTATTATTTTGTATGCGTGCGTGCCTTCTTTTTCCCGGGTCAATAAATAAAATAAGGCCTAAGTAGCTCAAGACTTTTAGCAGCCCCTCTTCGTACACTGGGGGGGCGCCCTCATAGAACGGTCGCTGAACAAGTCACCGTAAGTCAAGGACTACCCAACTTTGCCACCTGGAGCCTCTTTGCAGGGAGAAACGAAGGCAGCCCCCTCCTCCTCCCCTCTGTGCCCGGGGTCTCTGCTGGAACAGGATACGGTGGGGCGAGGGGGCTGGGTGGGGGGCGGGGGGGGGGGAGAAGAGAGCCTCCTTTAGAGGAAGCTACCCCTGCCCCAAAGAAGCCCCACCCCGCCTGTCTCTCCACCGCGCGCGACAGCTGCCGGGCTCTAGGCCAGAAGCCAGGCTGGAAAGCCAAAGGCCCGCTCAGGTTTTGGAGGCCCCGTGTCGGCTTGGGATTGTGTTACTTAATGGAAAAGGCAGACACAAAAGCTGCGGCTAAAAATACAACGCCCCCCCCCCCCAAAAAAACCCCCCCCCCCCCCCCCCCCTCACACACACCCAGGAGTTAATTACCGCAGACTCTTAATCCAAACACACACACACACACACACACACACACACAGAGGGAATTATTCGGTTCTTGCAGCAAACCCAGCAACCCGTCGGCTGCAAGGGAGACATCGGAGGCTGGTCTAAATTAAACGCGGTTCTCAAACCCGCCAGCGGAAGCGGTACAGGTGCAAAGCTTTCCAAGTCAACCGCCGATGGCGCCTTGCAGGGGGTCCTCGACTTACAACTGTCGGTTTAGTGACGATCCGAAGTTACGGGGGGGGGGGGCGGGGGGCGGGGAGAGGGACTTATGGCCGTTTTTTTTCACAGTTATGGCCGTCGCGTCCTTCCCCGCGGTCGCATGATCAAAATTCAGAGGCTTGACAACTGGCATGTACTCGTGACGGTTGCAGCAGGGATTCGCTTAACGGCTGTGGCAAGAAAGGTTGCAAAACGGGACGAGACAGTCCCTGAACAACTGTCTTTGCTCGGCAACGGAAATTTTGGGTTCGATGGTGGTCGTAAGTCGAGGACACGCTGTACAGGCAGTCCTTGACTTACAACAATTCATTTAGTGACCATGCGAAGTTACAGCAGGAGTAAAAAAAGGGATCGATGACCAATTTTCACACTTACGACCGTTACAACATCCCCTTGGTCATATAATCAAAATTCAGACGCTTGGCAATTGGTTCATATTTATGATGGTCGCAGTGTCCCAGGGTCATGTGATTCCCTTTTGCGACCTCCTGACGAGCAAAGTCAATGGGGAAGCTGGATTCGTTTAACAACCGTGTTCTTAACTTGACAACTATAGCGATTCACTTAACGACCATGACAAGAAACGCCCCCAAATAGGGCAAAAACCACTTAACAATTGTTTTGGCTTAGCAATGGAAATCTGGGGATTCAATTGTGGTTGTTAAGTCGAGGACTTCCTTCATATAATTTCACATGGTGGGGATAAAAGTTATGCAGGTAGTCCTCAACTTACGACCGGTCACTTTGCAAGCATTCCCAGTCATGACGGATGTCCCTCAAAAGGTGGCGAATTCCTGCCTTTTGGCAAAGACACCCCCCACAGCGAATTTCATCATGGGAGTATATCTGCTTAACAACTGCCGATTCAGTGACTGAACCTGACGACTCACTTAACAACCGGTGGGAGAAAAACCCGCTGTAAAATCGGGCCAGCCAGCTTCTCTATGCCCTCTCAGGGGCTGAGGAGGAATCTCCCTGTAGGCCACCTTAAAGTCCTGGGGGAAAGGTAGAAGGTAAACCGGATCCCTTAACCAGCAGGGCGTCTGGCCAGCGGAGAACCTGGTTTAAGCCTCCTCGTTCCGAGAGATTAAATGGCTGCATTTCCCAGCTTAGATTGGGGGTGGCTGGGCTCTTTTTTTGGAGCGATGTTCAACAAAGTCATGCTGCTCTTTGTCTGGATGCAAACGGCTCCAAATTAAACCTGAGGCTCTCCACAGCTAAGCAGCAAGGATTTACCTGTTACCTATTTCTTCCTGCAAGATCCCATTTGAAAGCCTCTCAGCGGTTACCAAAACCAAAGATGAATCAAAACAAATTTGCCAGCTGGAACCCTGTCCTAAACTCTTCAGAAAAACAAGATGTATCACTAGTGAAAAGCCTGAAGAGATACTGACTGACTGACTGTCCGTCTGACTGTCCGTCTATCTATCCATCCATCTATCTGTCCATCTACAGACACACACACACACACACACACACTATATGTGTATATACATTATCTATCATCTATCTATCTCTACCTATCTCATCTATCTATCTAATCTATCTTTCTATGTCTATCTATCTATACCTATCTATAATCTCTCTCTCTCTAATCAAGTTTTATTTATTTCTTTTTCTTTCTTTCTATCTTCCTACCTGTCTATCTATCCATCTGTCTGTCCATCTACATACACACACACACATACATATACAATATGTGTGTGTATATACATTATCTATCTATCATCTATCTCTATTATCTAATCTATCTTTCTATGTCTATCTATGTCTGTCTGTCTATCTATATCTATTTATAATCTCTCTCTCTAATCAATTTTTCTTTCTTTCTGTCTTCCTGTCTATCTATCTATCCATCTGTCTGTCCATCTACATACACACAGAAACATATACTGTGTGTGTATATACATTATTTATCCATCATCTATCTCCCTATGTCTATGTCTCTATCTGTATCTATCTATAATCTCTCTATATAATCAATTTTTCTTTCTTTCTTTCTATCTTCCAACCTACCTATCATCTCTCTTTCTCTTTCTCTTTCTCTTTCTCTCTCTCTCTCTCTCTCACACACACACACAAACACGAATGCATGCATACATACAGTAGTCCTCAACTTACAACTATTGGTTTAGTGACCAATAGTTCAAAATTACACAGCACTGAAAAGAATGACTTATGACCAGTTTTCGCACTTATGGCTGTTGCAGCATCCCCATGGCCACATGATCAAAATTCAGGTGCCTGGCAACTGACTCATTCTTGCGGCGGTCGCAGTGCCCCATGGTCACGTGATCCCCTTTTGCGACCTTCTGACAAGCAAAGTCAATGAGGAAGCCAGATTCGCTTAATGGCCATGTTGCTAACTGGACAACTGCAGTGATTTGGTCGACCACTGTGGCAAAAAAGGTCATAAAATGTTGCAAAACTCACTTTGGGCTGGATTCCTAGATCTGTCTCCTGAATGCTCAGGTGCGGTGCTTGATCGCCACCTAGTGGCCATTCTCAGTTGAAAAAAAGCAAGCGTAAGTTCTGGAGAAACAGAACAAGCCAACATCTTCTAGCCATTCTTCATAGATTGATGTTAGTGATGTTTTGGACTGGAAGCACGACAACAGAAAGAAAGGACATCGAAGTCCTATCAGTTGTGAATGCAAACCACTTCATGCACCACAAGGTACAGCTGAAGAAGACTCATCAAAGAAATTGTTTTCAATAGCTGGTCTTGTCCCATCGTGAATTGAACCAGGCTGAACAAAATTAACCCACCAGTTGTTTTCCCACCTCTCAGGAACTAAACTAGCATTTTACCACCCGGTGCCCTGGAGTCCCTCATTTAAAAATGAAACAGTTTTTCCAAGCACCGAATTTCAGCAACCGACCAACAAAAGTGCATTCTGATCTTTCCTGTAATCTAATTTTAGAAAAGGCTGCAACAGAACGGGGTTTGTTAATGGCCGGCTTGTTTTTTTAAGCATAACAGTCCAGAAATTCTTTCTTCCTACATTTTTTTTTTTAGAATTTGGAAAGTATGTTAGAAGGTAGATAAGAAGGATAGATTGGAATTCATTTTTGAAAATTGCAATTTATGACACAAAATTTGGACCAACTATGCCCCGAGAGCAGACAGCGGGGTGGCTTAATGGCTGCCCCGTTCGCTTAACAAACCACTGCAAAAAACGTTGTTAAAACGAGCCTGGTCACATGGTGACCTACTTTACGACTGCCACGGTTTATAACCGTAATGAGCAGCAGGCTCCATTAAGCCCATTATGTTGAGGACTAGCAGCAGCCTTTCCCTTTGCTTCAGCAATTGTCTTGTGGCAGGAGAAAAGTAACTTTCTAGCTGCTCCAAATGGACCCCCGCCGCCAACACATACACCCCTCCACCCTTGTGACAGCCACAAGGTAAATCAATGCCCAAAGATTGAAGCATCCTAGATGCTCCCATGCAGGTAACTCCCAGTCGGGGGGTCTTTCAGCTGTGTGCGACTCTTGCAACCGTGGGCTAAAGATATTTGAATACAGAATGACAGGGTTGGAAGGGACCCCCGAGATCTTCTAGTCCAACCCCCTGCTTAGACAGGAAACCCTACACCACTTCAGACAAATGGTTGATCCAATCTCTTCTTAAAAACTTCCAGTACTGGAGCATTTACAACTTCTGGTGGCAAGTTGTTCCACTGGTTAATTGTTCTCAATGCTGGGAAATTTCTTCTCTTAGTTCTAGGTTGCTTCTCTCCTTGGTTATTTTCCATCCGTTGCTTCTTGTCCTGCCTTCAGGCGCTTTGGAGAATAATTAGACCCCCTTAAATACTGGAACACGGCTATCCTGTCCCCCACTTAATTTCATTAAACCAGACCTACCCGATTCCTGCAAATTCTTCATATGTTTTATCCTCCAGCCCATTAATCATCCTTGTTGCTCTTCTCTGCACTTTCCAGAGTCTCAACCTCTTTCTTTATATTGTGACCAAAACTGCATGCTGTATTCCAAGGGCAGGATAAAGCAGCTGGAGGTAGCCGTTGACTTATGGCCACAACTGAGATCAAAATTTCTATTGATAAGTGGGACAATTTGTTAAGTGAGGCTTACCTGATTTTACCACCTTTCCTGCCACCGTTGTTAAGTGACTCCCTGCCGTTGTTAAGTAAGTAACAGCAATCTAGCAGAATGTTGTTCTGTTTCTCCAAAATTTAGCCTTGTCACCTCTTTATTCAACTCAGAGTGGCCACTAGATGGCGATCAACGGCCCCACCTGATCAACCAGTTTATAGGTCGCTCTTGACTTGTGGCCACTACTAAACCCCAAATTTCTGTTGCTAATCGAGACAGTCGTTAGGTGAGTTTCGTCCCATTTTACAACCTTCCCTGCCAGAGTTGTTAAATGAATCACAGCAGGTGTTAATAGCCTGGTTGTTAAGTGAATCTGGCTTCCCCATTTGCTTCGCTTGCCAGAAGGTCGACAAAGGGCATCACGTGGCCCTGGGACACTACGACCGTCATAAATATGAGTAACTTTCCAAGCGCCCCGAGTTTGATCACATGACCGCGAGGATGCTGCAATGGTCGGTGTGAAAAACGGTGTTAAGTCACTACGTAAGTCAAGGACTACCTAAACTTTCTCCTGCTCTGGATACTATCTCTCTGTTGATGTAATGTAGGATCGCACTGGCCTTTTCGGTGGCTGCAACACACTGCTGGCTCATACGTGCTCCTCCTTTCGCTATTACCGAAAATTTCTCCGAAAATACGACCTATCCTGAAAGTTAAGTCCTAGCTTGATTTTTCCGTGTGCCCCCAAAATAAGCCCCAATTAAGATCCCAGCCACTCCGGAGTGGACGGGTAAAAATTAAGCTAGGGTGGGGATGTGGGGAGTGGAGATGCCCTACTACTTTTACCTTTGGACAGTTGTAGCCAGGCCTGGCACACCCCGACACCTGCCTTGCCGGCCGCAGAAGAAGAAGTTCCTGAAGGCCTCTGACAGCAAAAGGGAAGCCGGGTGCGACGCATGCAACTGAGCTTAGTCAGTGGACGACATCACCACCGAAAATAAGACCTGGTGCCTTTTTTGGGTGGCAAAAAATACATATAAGATAGGGTCTTATTTTCGGAGAAACACACAGTGCGTTTCTGAAATCCGAACTACCTGAGGGCGGCCTCCCTCCCTTCTCTCTTACCTGCTTGCCAAATGGAGGTCCCCACCTCCTCTGGCGAGACCCTCTTAGCCTGCGTGAGCCTCACAGCATCCTCCGAGAACTGGATCTTCTTGCTGAACTGCATCTCGAGGAACGGGATGGCTTCGGGCATCTTTGCCGACAGCAGCCGGTAGCAGATATCCGGTTTGCCGATGAACCTCTGGCGGACACAGATTTCGTAAGGGGTTTGGACCCTGACGTCATCCACGTCCCTCTTGTCAAACCAATGGAGCAGCTGGGACTTGGCGTTGCAGATCCTCAGGCCGGACACTAAGAGGGTGAGGCTGCCCGGTTTGACGTGAGCATCGGTCCGTTCGCCGATGATGACGGGGATGTGGACAATGACGCTATCTTTGCTTTTGGGGGGAGAAGCGGCCAGGTTTTCCTTCGCCTTCCCTGCTTCGGACACGGCCTTGGGGAGTTTCCCACCGAAAGGCCACCAAGAGGGGGATTCAAGTTCAGACAATAACCTAAGAGGAAGAGAAGAACGGTCAGAAACACAGGCAGTCCTCCACTTGTTGACTATTCATTTAGTCTTCGAACTTACAATAACGGCACTGAAAAAAGTAACTTAGGACTGTTTTTGATACTTATCACCGTGGCAGCACCCACAGTCACGTGGTCAAAATTCAGACACTGGCAACTGGCTCGTATTTATGATGGCTGGATCACATTGTCCCTTTTAGCGACCCTCGGATAAGCAGAGTCGATGGGGAAGCCAGATTCACTTGACAGCTGTGTTAACTAATTTAACCATGGCAGCAATTTGCTTGAACAATTGAGACAAGAAAAGCTGTAAAAAATGGGGCAAAACTGAGTTGGAAAGATGTCTCACTTAGCGAAGGAAATTCTGGGCTCAACTGGGGTCATAAATCGAGGACTTCCCTAGAGGTAGTGCTCAGCTTCCAGCCACAGTTGACCCCAAAATTTATGTTGCTAAGGAGAGACACCTGCCAAGTCAGTTTTGCCCCATTTTACAACCTTTCTTTGACACAGTTGTTAAGTGAGTCACTGCAGCTCCTAAGTTAGTCAAGTTGTTAAGTGAAGCTGGTTTCCCCGTTGACTTTGTTTGTCAGAAGATCACAAAAAAGGGATCACGTGACCCCGGGACACTGCGACCGTTGTAAACGTGAGCCTGCGGCCAAATTTTGACGACGTGACCACAGGGATGGCTGCAACGGTCGTAAGTGTGGAAAAACAGTCAGCAATCGCTTTTTCAATTGCCATTGAACAGTCACTCAATGAAAAGTTGTAAGTCGAGGACTACCTGTATATATATATATATATATCTGGCCAGATAATGAAAACCAGCACAAGCCCCGGGAAGAGAACATGTGTGTTCCAGATGTGCTGGAGAGGAACACCTGGTAGCTCTCCCTACTCGACAGGGCTGGCTGGAGGTGCTGGGAACGGCAGTTGATTAGGATTGGAAGGCCAACAACCCCTCTTACACACACACACACACACCACCCAAAGAGGACCAGTGTCACAAACGGTCACACCACAGAACCCGCTCCCAGGATTACGTGCCTGGATGCTGGGCGCTTAGCGGCCAGTAATCTTTATGCCTGGTTACAACACTGCATGCAGGGCCATGATGGCTATTTATAGGTGGGTTTTTTGGTCCCTTTGTAGCAAAAAAATAAAAATAGCCATTGGGATGAATGGATTCACGCTCACGACTGGTGCCTTCTCTTAATGAACCCCACAAAAAAGGGGGTAATAAAATTGCTTCCAGTCACAGGAGCGCTCAGATTTAACGACTGGATTTTTATTAGATTTTTTTTTATCCCAACTTTATTTTATTTTGTAACTAGTTCAAGGCAGTGGAGAGTCAAAACGGTCCTTCCTCCTCCATTTTCCCCACAATAGCCCTGTGAGGTGGGTTGGGCTGAGAGGGAGGGACTGGCCTGAAGTCGCCCAGCCTGATTACGTGCCTAAGGCGGGACTAGAACTCATGGTCTCAGGGTGACTGTCCCAAAGTCACCCAGCCAGTTTTTTTATCCTTACGGTGGGGACTAGAACTCACCATCTGATTGGCTCAAAGTCATCCAGCCTTCTTTCATGCCTAAAGTGGGATTAGAACTCACTGTCACCTGATGGTTGGCCCAAAGTCACCCAACCAGCTTTCCGGCTTAATGCGGGACTAGAACTCACCATCTGATTGATGTTACCCAGCCAATTTTCATGCCTAAGGAGGGACTAGAACTCCGTCTCCTCCTGGTTTCTAGGCCAGCTCCTCAACTCCTACCCCAAACTGGCTCTCTTCCGGTCCCAACTGCAGCAGTTAAGTTGAGGCCTTCCCATATTAAACCAACCTTGGACTGCGATCCTTTCCCAACGCAGCTATTTGCCCTTGTTTCAGGAGAAAGTATTCCTGAATTTAAATAATTCTCTTAAAGTAACCTCTAACTTTTAAAGCTGCGGCTCTCCGCTTGTTTTTTGAGGACGAGCCCCCTCTGCCAATGAGGGCCCTCTAGGACTCCAAGCAGAGCAGACCTCCAGATGTCCCCCTATGCGCCAACTCTATGGCCCACCCTGGGGATGACCGGATCCCACACCCCCACGGTGATCAAAACCCCCCCTGGCGTGCCACCATACCTGTCCGCCACATCCATCTCCGACTCAATCTTGTCCAGGCCTTTCATGATGTTATCAAACTGCTCGCCCTGGTTCTCCAGGACCTTGGCGGTGTCTTCCAGGCGCTTCTCAGATCCCGCCAGCAAGCCGGTCAATTCTCTGCCCTTGGAGGTCTGGGCGCACGCCGCCTGCGGCCTGGCTCCTCCAGGGGAGAGGAGCTGCTCCCTCCAAAAATGTTCCAGCACGTTGAAGATCACGTTTCGGTTGGGTTGGAGGGAGCTGAACCAATGCTTGGTGTTGCTCTCCAAAAGGGTGAGGGAACTGAAGATTAAGGTGGACGATTCTTTCTTGATCTCGCTGATGGAGGAAAGCGGGAAGCTGGACAAGATCTCTCCGGATTTGTCCGCCGTGAATTTGACCGAAACTGGGGTCAGCAGGAGTTTGCCGGGAACCCATTGTTTCTCCGAGTTGAGATAATAGGAGCAGGACCAAGCATGGATGTGAATGTTGTCCTCCATGATCTTGTTCCTTAAGCTCCACTTCCTCAAGGAGACAGCTGACAACCTTCCGAAGACCAAATAAATTGTGCAATCAGCGATTAGTAATTAACACACACTCCACTCACCTTTCATGAGCCTTATGACAAATGAGCCTTATGACAAAAGAGGCATAGTGAGAATCTAACTCAGGGCTGTCCATCCTTGGCCACTTTCAGGCCTGTGGGCTTCAATTCCCAGAATTCCCACGCATGGCTGGCTGGGGAATTCTGGGAAATGGAAGCCCACAGGCCTCAAAGTGGCCAAGGAATGGACGCTTTAAAACATTGAAATGTGAACTCTGAACTCCTTCTGGACCCCAAATCTTGAATTTTGAATATCTGAAGCTGCGTTCTTCTGAATTAACTGTTTGGTTTGCTAGTCCTCAACTTACAACCATTTGTTAAATGGCTGTTTAAAGTTTCAGTGGCACTGAAAAAAAGGGGGTTATGCCCAGTTCTCACACCTATGACTGCTGCAGCATCCCCACAGCCATGTGGTCAAACTTCGGATGCTTGACCAAGAATCCTGGGGTTGTGCAATTGTCATTTGCAACCTTCCTTGGGAGCATTTGGCAAGCAAACACAAATTCTATTAGTTAAATGAAACTAACCCCAGGCACAATCAATAATTCCCTTTCTCAATCGACACCCTTCAAAAAAACCGAAACAAGAACATGCAATTTCATTTAGAATAGAATACAATAACAGAGTTGGAAGGGACCCTGGAGGTCTTCTAGTCCAACCCCCTGCTTAGGCAGGAAGCCCTACACCGCTTCAGACAAATGGTTGTCCCATCTCTTCTTTAAAACTTCCAGCGTTGGAGCATTCACAGCTTCTGGAGGCAAAAAGTCCCACTGATTAATTGTTCTGTCAGGAAATTTCTTCTTAGTTCTAGGTTGTTTCTTTCCTTGATTAGTTTCCATCTGTTGCTTCTTGTCCTGCTTTGGAGAACAGCTTGACCCCCCTCTCCATTGTGGCAACCTCTGAGATATTGGAAGACTGCTATCATGTCACCCCTGGTCCTTCTTTTCATCAGACTAGACATACCCAGTTCCAGCAACCGTTCTTTATATGTTTTAGCCTCCATTTAAAATAGGCCAGTTCTACTTTCACACAAGATACACCATGCCAACTTAAAAACAACAAAAACGAACACAGATTCCTCAACCTTGCTCATTTTAAGTTGTGCAGACCTCAACTCCCAGAATTCCTCTGCCAGCCAGTCATAAAATCAAGTCCAGTCACATTGTGACTCACTTAATGACTACATTGCTTAGTGACAGAAATTCTGGACCCAACTGTGACTATTAGTTTAGGACCAACTGTAACTTCAGATGCATCAACATATGCAAAAAGAGATTGATTCATATACGCATATTTGTTACTTGACAATCGCAAATCAGCTGATCACATAGAAGAAACAAAATCCAAGTCCTCCTTTAGCCACCCCAAATGGCACAGGCAACACGGTCATTAAGTGAAGCAGTTGCTAAGTGAAACTGCAAAACTCCTCTTATGTGGACTGCTTTGTTTTACAGACCCGCCATCAATGCAAGGACTGGTGGGGGGGAAAAAAACCACTTTTTCATCATGGTCATAACTGCGAATGGTTGCTAAATGAGGACTGCATGTACAACTCACCTAAAAGACAGGGTTTTTTTTAAAAAAAAAAAGCTAATTCACACACATTCAACCTTTCATCAGAAGTAACAGACGTTGGAATAATATTTAAGCATTACGGACATGATCATCTATCAGAATAAAAGTAATTGAAGACATTGAAGGTCTCTCTCTTCGTTTGCTGTTTTCGTCTTCTCTACCCATAACACTGACTATCTTGTCTTCATTAAGCACAGCATTTCCCCCGTTTACCTGGACCGTTGGTGGATTCAGAAGTTTTTGATAGCTTAAACGTTCTTATCAGGTTTGAGGCTTCTTGGTTTCGGAGTCCAACAAAAATTGCCCAAAATTGTACGGATTAAAAAAAGGGGGGGTGGGAGGGAACCCCTATCACACTACATAAAATTCGCTACACTTCTAAAACTTAGAAAAGAGATATTTGGGTGGTGGGGGGGGATGATAATCCAAAGCAGGCATTTGAGTGTTTGTCCATAGCACAAGAAAATGAACATCAAAGGAGGATGTTAGATATTACAAATATATATAGACATATATATATACGCACAGATATTGTTTTGAGCTTATGATTCATTGAGCAAGTCACCTATTTACCATCTGGCTAGTCATTTTCTCACATGACGAAACAGGGGAAATTATTATTGCTCAGGTATCACATGCTGACCACAGTCAACATCACATCAGGAAACCAGGTCTTATGTTGATACACAGGTGGTCCTCGGCTTACGACCACGGCTGAGCCCAACATTTTTGTAGCTAAATGAGACATTTGTTAAGTGAGTTTTGCCCCATTTGACTGCCTGTCTTGCCACAAGTGAATCCCTGCAGTTGTTAAATTAGTCACACGGTTGCTAAGTGAGTCCAGCTTTCCCCATTGACTTGGCTGGACAGAAGGTCCCCGTGACCCCAGGAACACTGCGACCATCATAAATACGAGTCAGTTGCCAAGCTGAAATTTGATCACGAGGCCCTGGGGGATGCAGCAATGATGTGAAAAACAGTCAGAAGCTACCATTGTAACTTTGAACAGACATTAAATAACGTTCTGGTTATTTATTTTGTTTTATTTTGAGGCCCCTCCCACCTTTAGTATTCTCACAAATAACTCAAGGCAGCGAATGTATCCGACACAGCTTCCTCATCCCATTTTCCCCAAAACAACAACCCTGCGAGATAGTTCGGACTGAGAAAAGAGGGAAGGAGAGACGCAGAGAGATTGAGATTGACTGGAAGCCACCCAGCTGCCTTTCAGGGCTAAGGCAGCACTTGAACTCATCTCCAACAATCTAATCCAGGGTTTTCCCCTTGGGCAAGGCCAGCCTTTATGGAATTACAAAAGGTGTTTTCTTCGCTGCAAAGGAGTGATGTATAACGTACAAAGATGAGGCAACCCTTCCCGCAAAATCAATACATTACATTTTGGACCAACAAACACATTTTATGAGTCCTTTTCTGGAAGCCCACAAGGAACTGCCCATGTAATAAAATATTAAAAGTATTTCCTTGTTTACTCCGAAGCAGAGTAGCTGGTTGTTGTTGGGTTGTTGTTTTTTTTAAAAAAAACCATAATTTTAAATTATTCATGGCAGGACAGCCAGGAAATGCAATCTAAGTACAAGCTGTACCGGCAAGAGGCGGTCAAATGCGGCCAAATGCAGACAAAACAAGATGGTTAAAAGGCAAAAACGTTTCACTTATTAACCAGGAAGTCTCAGGGAGATTCCTGCCGCTCTTTGAGAGAATCCTTATACAAGTAGGTAGTCCTCAGCATTTACCTCAAGTGAGAAAGGGAAGTGAGTCTTGCCCTGTTTTACAACCTTTCTTGCCGGAGTTGTTAAGCGAATCACCGCAGTCGTTAAACTGAGCGGTGAGTCTGGCTTCCTCTTTGGCGACCCTTACTCCGCTTGGCGGAGGGTCGCAAAAGGGGGTTCACGTGACCCCCCCCCCCGGGAAGCTGCGACCGTCATAAATAGGAGCCAGTGGCTGAGCGTCTGAATTTAGATTGATATGACGTGACCCTGGGGATGTTGCGATAGTCCCAAGAGTGAAAAACGGTCGTAAATCCCTCTCTTCAGAGCTGCGGCAACTTCAGTCATTAAACGAATTGGCTGTTGAGGTAACGGATTATATATGTAAATGGTGGCCAATGGGATAGAGAACACCCCACCTCCTCGCTCCGAGCACCTTGCTCCCTGTCTCATCTGATCAAGGTTTTATTTTTTAAATGATTTTTTTTTCAATTCAAGATCTTTATTCTTTTAATATCTTACATTGCAATTTATTCAATGTCTTTGGGACATCCGAAATGTCTGGAATGGTATAAGGTCTGCAACTTGAGGGGGGGGGGGGGTTAGACTAGAAGACCTCCAAGGTCCCTTCTGACTCTGTTATTAAGATGGGTGGCATGCAAGGTTGATAAAACAGATAAATGTAAGACTAAAATGTCTGTGGAGGTGTTAATTGCATACAACATACAAAACATGACCACAACTACACTAATACCTACAAATTATTTTTTTGCAAAGATGTCTGATCAAACCACCTATTTCGTATTTCGAATCCGCTGGGCTAGACATTTTCACTCTCTGTGAGAAATAATCACAGGCAGACGTACAGCCATTCATTTAGTGACTGTCTGTGGTTACAATGGCACTGAAAAAAGGGACTTATGGCCGTTTCCACACTTATGACCATCGCAGCATCCCCATTTACATTCAGACACTTGGCAGCTGACTCTTATTTATGATGGTCGCAGTGTCCTGGGGTCAAGTGACCCACCTTTTGCAAAGTTTTTACCAAAAAAAGACACTGGGGAAGCCAGATTCATTTAACAATCATGTTGCTAACAACTGCAGTGATTCACTTAACAACTGAGGCAAGAAAGGTCGTAAAATGGGGTAAAATTCACTTCACAAATTTTTCACCTAGCCACAGAAATTTGGGGCTCAGTTGTGGACATAAGACAAAGACTGCCTGTAATTATGACGGCTGCATAATTAAACTGTCCTAGGCCCTAGGGTGACCTTAAGTAGTAACTTGAGGACTATCTGTATAAAACTACCGTATTTACAGAATCTACTTTTGATTTGGATATAGATACAAATATGCACAGATACGCACAGACACACAAAAATACCACAGGTCCTCAACTTATGATCACAACTGAGCCCAGCATTTATGTGGCTAAGTGAGAAATCTGTTGAGTTTTGCCCCATTTTACAACCTTTCTTGCTACAGTTGCTAAGTGAATCACTGCAGTTGATAAGTTATTCACACAGTTGTTAAGCAAATCTGGCTTCCCCTGTTGACTTTGCTTGTCCAGTCGCAAAAGGGGATCATGTGACCCCGGGACCCTGCGACCGTCATAAATACGAGTCAGTTGCCAAGCGTCTGAATTTTGATCACATGACCGCGGGGATGCTGCGACGGTCACAAGCATGAAAAACAGTCCTTTTTTCCAGCGGTGTTATAACTTTGAATAGTCACTAAGCAAACTGTTGTAAATCAAGAACTACCTGTATCTATACTGTTTGATGATGTTTTGTGCTGTTTTGTGATCTGAAAAGAATAGAATAACAGAATAAGAATCGGATATAGAATATAATATATATATATAGAATATAGAATAAAATAGAACAGAAAAGAATAAATAGAACAGAATAAAGAAAGAATAGAACAGAACAGAATAAGGAAAGAATGGAATAAAGAATACAATAAAATAGAAATCAGAATAGAACAGAAATCAGAATAGAATAGAATATTGGAATTAAGAATAGAACAGAACAGAATA